ATTTGATTCCCCACTCCTCCTCCACCTGCAGCTGCCGGTGTGACCTTGGGTCAGTCACAACTTATTTTCAGAGCTGTTCTCTCAGGAGCAGTCCTCGAAAGAGCTCTCTCGGCCCTACCCTACAGGGTGTTCGTTGTGGGGAGGGGAAGGGAAAGGAGTTTGTAAGCCGCTCTGAGACTCCCGAGTGAAGGGCAGGGTATAAACCCAATCTCCTCCTCCTCTTCTATTCAGGTCTGAGGATGGACTTTGGGGTTGGGACAACAGCAGTGCCGCAGCCTGGGCCAGGGCAGGAGATGATGGAAGAGCACAGAGTGGAGGGCCCGCCCAAAGTCCTTCTTCCTCAGGGCATAGATGAGGGGGTTGGCCAAGGAGTTCGTGTGGGAGAGCAAGACGGCCAGGCGGTCCAGGGACTCGTAGGCCTGGCATCTGGGGCACAGGAGCTGAACGCAGTAGATTACGTGCAGGGGCAGCCAACAAACGCAGAAGACCCCCACCAACAGGAAGAGGGTGCGAGCCGTCTGGATCTCCCCTCGCTTGGCAGCCCACGGAACCTGGGAGTGGAAATGGCCGCGGACGACCCGGAAGAGGTTGAGGTAGATGCCCAGCATGGCCACCAGGGGCAGCAGGGTGCAGGTGAAGAAGACAAAGTAGACCAGGTACTCGGGGCTGAAGACGGAGGTGAAGGAGCAGCGGCCGAGGTGCCCGTCATGGATCCCGCTGTCGCTGAAGTTCTGGAGGGGACCCGGATAAACCTTGGAGAGGAACCCTGTATAAGGAAGATCGCGGGCGAGGACGACGAAGGGTATCCTCTCGGAGGGGGAGCTGACCGCCACGGTCTGGTTGCTGGCTTCTTCTGCGTACTGCCGAAAGCGGTTCCAGCCCATCATCGGGGAGAGGCCAATCAGGAGGGACAGCAGCCAGCAGAAGGCCACGAGGACCATCACCCGTCCCTTCTTCACATATGTGATGTAACTGGCAGGGGAAAGAACCTCGTGAGTGTCACAAGTTAACCAGACAGTCTTAGCTTCCTAGCAGCACCTCTCGTTGGGTTGCCTCTTGGGAGCGGAGGACCTTGACCCAGCGGAACAAAAGGATTTCCGTCCGCCCCGATTGCCTACCGAGCAGGAAGACTCAGCCTAAAGACCTTGGGCGCTTTCACACATGCTAAATAATGACGTTTCAGTATACTTCAGCGGCCGTTCACAAGTGTATTTTGCCATCTCACACAGTAAATGCCAGTTGCAAAGTGCGTTGAAAATGCGTTATTGAGTGTGTGTGAAAGCACCCCTTGACAGCAGTGGAGCGAGTTTTCTTTATTTATTTGCTTTGTTTATGCCAGTTTGGTATAGTGGTTAGGTGCACGGACTCTAATCTGGGAGAACTGGGTTTGATTCCCCACTCCTCCATATGCAGCCGCTGGGTGAGCTTGGGTCAGTCACAGTTCTCTCAGAGCTGTTCTCTCAAGAGCCGTTTCTCTCTGAGCTGTCTCAGCCCCGCCTACCTCACAGGGTGTCTGTTGTGGGGAGGGGAGGGGAAAGGAGTTATTAAGCCGCTCTGAGACAGCTTTCTTCTCTCTTCTTCTTCTTCTATGCAACTCCGCAGGGCCTGTAAGGCAGAGATGCTCCGCCAGGCTTTTGGTTGAGGGCGGCAACCTTTTTCCCATTGGCTGGCACCCTTCCTCCCTCCCCCCTCCGCATTTTTTTTGTCCTGAGTTCCCTCTCCCCTCCCCAGAAAATGGCCAGGTAGTCCAGAACTGGGATAGAAAATTTACAGGATGCCATCTTGGATCTTTTTACTCTGGTTCTCTTCGTTTTTATCGAATTGTATACTGAGTTTTAATGTTTTGTATATTTTTATGGCATTTTGGCCTCTAAAGCATCGCCCAGAGCTCGGTGTAAGCTGGGATAGGGCAATTAAGAAATCGAATTATTATTATTAGTAGTAGTAGTAGTAGTAATGATGATGATGATGATAACAACAACTAGTACCACTACTACAACAATAAGAACAACACAACAATAACAACATAGCAACAACAACAACAACAATAATTTATACCCCGCTTTTCTCCCCCATGGGGACCCAAAGTGACTGCAACATTCTTCCATCCTCCATTTTATCCTCGCAACACCTCTGCTTGGCATGCAGAAGGTCCCAGGTTCAATCCCCGGCATCTCCAGTAAAGAAGGACCAGGCAGGAGGGGATGGGAAAGACCTCCGCCTGAGACCCTGGAGAGCCATGAAGTGGGGCCTGTGGCTCAGTGGAAGAGCCTCTGCTTGGCATGCAGAAGGTCCCAGGTTCGATCCCAGGCATCTCCAGTTAAAAGGACCAGGGAGCAGGAGGTGATGGGAAAGACCTCTTCCTGAGATCCTGGAGAGCCATGAAGTGGGGCTGTGGCCAATGCTCCCTCTAAGCTGTGGAGTCGTGTGAGCAAAAAGTCTGCTTTGTGAGCTACTGGCATTAAAGCTGTGAGTGAGTGATTTGGCTACTGCATAGATTAGTTTGCTCCGGAGCCATCCTTCCTGAGCTAAGACAAAAATGCGTGAGCCGGAGGCTAAAAAACTGAGCTAGCTCACACTAACTCAGCTTAGAGGGAACACTGGCTGTGGCTCAGTGGAAGAGCCTCTGCTTGGCATGCAGAAGGTCCCAGGTTCAATCCCTGTTATCTCCAGTTAAAAGGACCAGGCAGGAGGTGATGGGAAAGACCTCCGCCTGAGACCCTGGAGAGCCATAAAGTGGGGCTGTGGCTCAGTGGAAGAGCCTCTGCTTAGCATGCAGAAGGTCCCAGGTTCTATCCCCAGCAACTCAAAGGAGGAGGTAGCAGGTGATGTGAGACCTTGGAGAACCGCTGCCAGTCTGAGTAGACAACACTGACAATGACGGACTGACGGTCTGATTCAGTATAAGGCAGCTTCCTGCGCGTTCCTCTGTGTACTATTCATGTTATTTATTGTCTGCCTTTCTTGCTGAGGGTCAAGGCAGATTACGCAGTGCCCGTCAATGCAATTAATAGGATGCTATATCTACAGTGTGGGACCAGAGTTGCCAACTCCGGGTTGGGAAATTCCTGGAGATGTGGAGGTGGGGGCCTGGGTAGGGCAGGGTTTGGGGACAGCAGGGTATAACATCATAGAATCCACCCTCCAAAGCAGCCATCTTCTCCAGGGGGAGTGATCTCTGTCGTCTGGAAATCAGTTGTGGTTCCAGATCGCCGGGCCCCACCTGGAGGATGGTAAGCCCACGTGTGGTCCGAGGTCACCCTTCAAGCTTCCATGAAAGCGTGGGGAACTGAAGCTTCCTTGTTTGACACTAGTGTCGCCAATCTTCGGGTGGGGCCTGGAGGTATCCGGGAATGACAAATCACCTCCAAACAACCGGGAAAGTTGTTGTAGCTCTCGTGGCCCCTTCTTACACGCCCAGGGAAATGCCGATTGCCACTGTGGGGGTCACGGACAGCTGAGTTAGTGTGAGCTAGCTCACAGTTTTTTAGCCTCCAGCTCAGAGATTTTTGGCTTAGCTCAGGAAGGAGGGCTCCAGAGCAAACTAATTGATGCAGGAGCCAAATCGCTCGCTCACAACTTTAATGCCAGTAGCCCACAAAGTAGAACTTTTGCTCACCCGACCCCACAGCTTACAGGGAACATTGGTCAGGAAACCATTTTTCTCCAGGCCAGTTTGGCTGGGGATCCTGGAGGGGGTTTTTTTGGTCATCTTCTGGGCATGGAACAGCGGTCACTAGGTGTGTGTGGGGGAGGTATTTGTGAATTTATCTGCCCCATTTCCAGCTTTGTGGTATCCTTTTTGAGATGGGGTGACAAGAATTTTTCTGTCCTGTGTTCCTGGAGAAAACGTCTGCTTTGAAGGGTGCAGCGCCTGGCTTTATACCCTGCTGAGCTCCCTTCCCACCCCAAACCCTGCCTTTTCCCAGGCTCCACCACAACCAGTGTTCCCTCTAAGCTGAGTTAGTGTGAGCTAGCTCACAGTTTTTTAGCCTCCGGCTCACACATTTTTGTCTTAGCTCGGGGGAAATGGCTCCAGAGCAAACTAATTTATGCAGCAGCCAAATCGCTCACTCACAACTTTAATGCCAGTCGCTCGCAGAGTAGAATTTTTTGCTCACAAGACTCCACAGCTTAGAGGGAGCATTGACCACAACATCCCCAGGAATTTCCAAACGTGGAGTTGGTAACTCTGACAATCTAACCATGACACCACACTGCATCTCTGGGTACACTGCCCTAACACCAGGATATGCCAGTATAGGGCTGAGTCCTCCTTCTGGGCCCTTCTGAGGCAGGGTCTGTGAGTGTGGTTAAGCGGGTCTCCCAGAAGCAAGAACAGGGAAATAAGGTCATGTCCACATGACCACCTCCATCAATCCTTCTTTGAAAGCTCTCTGGGGGAAACAAAATGCCCCGACAATCTGCCTGCATACAAGAAGAAGAAGTCAAGGAGGAGGAGATTTGATTTATACCCCGCCTCAGAGTCTCAGAGCGGCTTACAATCTCCTTTCCCTCCCCCTCCCCACAACAGACACCCTGTGAGGCGCGTGGGGCTGAGAGAGCTCTTCCAAGGACTGCTCCTGAGAGAACAGCTCTGAAATAACTTGTGACTGACCCAAGGTCGCCCCAGCAGCTGCACGTGGAGGAGGAGCGGGGAATCGAACCCGGTTGTCCCAGATTAGAGTCCGTGCCCTTAACCACTATGCCAGACCAGGGAAGCTGGTTACCGATACCGACAGAGACTTTTGTTTCTGTGGCTTTCCTGTTACGAAAGAAAAGGGGTCAGCCTTTGCAGAGCCTTACCTGTTGGGCAGCCTGATCTTCAGGTGCGCGTTGATGGCAATGACCAGCAGGAGGAGGATGGAGAACTGAGTGGTGACCAGTGGGAAACAAGTGAGGAAGAGGCACGTGTAGAAGCACATGGTGTATCCCATGCTGAGCACCATGGTGAACGGGATCGCCAGAGCCCCCACACCCAGGTCGGCCACCGCCAGGCAGAAGATCAGGTAGTTTGTGACGTGCCTCAGTTCTTTGTGCAAGCAGAGGGTGGCGCACACCAGCAGGTTGGTGGTGATGATGGCCACGGCCAGGAGGCCCTCAAGAACCACAAAGCCAAAGTACATGTCCATGGCGGGCCACCAAAGAAGTGGCTTCCACGCCCCAGCAGAGGAAAAAACCCCTTTAACAGAACGGTTGCCGCTAAGGGACAAAGGTTTTCGAGGCTGCTTTGCTTTTCAGGAGCCAGCTTGGTGTAGCGGTTAAGAGCGGCCGACTCTAATCTGGAGGACAGGGTTTGATTCCCCACGCCTCCACATGCAGCCAGCTGGGTGACCTTGGGTCAGTCACAGTTCTCTCAGAGCTGTTCTCTCAGGAGCAGTCATCAGGCAGATCTCTCTCAGCCCCACCGACCTCACAGGGTGTCTGTTGTGGGGAGAGGAAGGGAAGGAGATTGTAAGCCGCTCCGAGATTCTTTCCGGTAGTGAAGAGCGGGGCATAAAACCAACTCTTCTTCTAGATCTACAGAGAATATGCAGGATCCAGGTTCGGACACCCCTTCCAATCTCTCTGCCTCGTCTTTCCCAAGAGTTCTGTCCAGCTCCCTCCTAGGCTACTATCAGCGATCAACCAGCTCCATCTGTGTTTGCTTAGAGTTCTGGGAGCAAATAAATCAAACTGTGCACAGTACGAGACAGCTTTTAATGCGGGCTGATGCATTTTCCTCGCATGGATTAGAGGCGTCTCTCACTGAGGCAGGGCAATCGATGTTCTGGCTGAAATAAACCTGGGCGGCCATAAAGAAGCGAACCAAAGAACCTCACTTCAGATGGAAATTCTCATGCCCAGGCTCAAATTTAGAATATCCCCAGATGTTTCTGTTTTAAGTCTAATTCTTGTGGGTTTTTTCCCCCCCCCCCCCACGGTCTTTAGCTTTCAGTCGGGTGATAGCTGCAGTTTCTTTTCAGGCAGTCCGGTGATCCGGGCCAGAAAAATCCATGAAAAGGGAGGGGAAATACCCTTTTTTAAAAAAGGGCATCTTCCCCCCTAGGGACCACAGGTCAGTTGACATGGCCTCTCCCGTCCCCCTTTAATCGCACAACAATCCTGTGAGGTAGGTGAGGTCAAGAGGCTGGACCAGGTCATTCTGTGGGTTTCGTGGCTGAGTGGAGATCTGAACCCAGATTCCTGGGTCTGACACTCTAACCACTGGAGACCACCCTCTAGGGCTGCCAAGTCCCCCCGGGGGGCGGAAATCCCCCTGCCCCAGAGGCCCGTTCCCTGACGCCGGGGAATCGGGCCCTGGGGGGAACGCCGCCCCAGTGTGCACGTCACAGGGAACTCTATGGTTTTCCCTTGTATGGTCGTGGCCCCGCCACCAGCGTGCCTGGCGTCATGACGTCACTTCCCTGTGACATGCATGCAGCACGCACGCGCGCGCGCCTGGATACGATTGGGAGTCCCCCGCGGGAAGGGTAAGTGCCACTTGTTGGCAACCCTACCACCCTCCCAGTTCCTCCCGTCCACCCACCAGCGTGGTGTAGTGGTTAAGAGCAGTGGGCTCTAATCCGAAGAACCGGGTTTGGTTCCCCACTCCTCTGCATGAAACCTGCTGGGTGACCTTGGGCCAGTCACCGTTCTTTTAGAACGCTCTCAGCCCCCACCTACCTCACAAGGTGCCTGTTGTGGGGAGAAGAAGGGAAGGCGATGATAAGCCGCTTTGAGACTCCTTGTAGTTCAGTGTTGGTAAATTGTACGGTGATGCACACGGGGACGAAAGATCCCGGCTTCAAGTCTAGGCTAATGGGGTCTGAACTTGCTGAGCCTGGGAGGGGAAAAGTTCTTGGGGTCGTAGTGGGCAGCTCAATGAACGTGTCAACCCAGTGTGCTGCAGCGGCGAAAAAGGCAAAGTCTGTGTTGGGGATGATTAGGAAAGGGATTGAGAATAGAATGGCCGATGTTGTAATGCCCCTGTCTAGATCTAAGGTGCGGCCTCATTTGGAATACTGTGCACTGTTCTGTCAGGGCTCTTTTTGTAGAAAAAGCCCAGCAGGAACTCATTAGCATAATAGGCCACACCCAACAGCAGAAATCCATTAGCATATTAGGGCACACCCCTGACAGCACAGCTCATTAGCGCATTAGGCCACACCCCCCATTTTACCAGTAGTGTGCTCATCCAGCCACACCCACCTTTTGCTTCTTATTCTGTTGACCTTGTTTGTGGTCAAAACCCAGGGCCTTTTTTTTGTAGCAGGGACTCCTTTGCATGTTAGGCCACACACCCCTAATGTAGCCAATCCGAATGAGTTCCTGCTGTTGGGTGTGGCCTATTATGCTAATGAGTTCCTGCTGGGCGTGGCCAACTTGGGAGCCAGCCGGAACTCCGTTCCTGCCCAAAAATAGCCCTGGTTCTGGTCACTGTATATCAGAAAGGACATTGGCAGAGCTGGAAAAAGTACAGAGAGGAGGGCAACGTAAGACGATTAGGGGGTTGGAGCACCTCCCCTATGAGGAAGGGCTGAAGAGCCTGGGACTTTTCAGTTTAGGAAAGAGATGACTAAGGGGGGGACATGAGAGAGGTTTGTAAAATCATGAATGGGGTGGAGAGAGTTGACAGAGACAACTTTTTCTCCCTTTCCCAAAAGACTAGAGCTTGAGGGCAGCCAATAAAGCTGATGGGCAGTAGGTTCAGGACGGACAAAAGGAAATACTACTTTATGTTGTTGTTCAGTCGCTCAGTCGAGTCCGACTCTTCGTGACCCCATGGACCAGATCACGCCAGACCCTCCTGTCTTCCGCCGTCCACTAAGGTTTGCTCAATTTCATGTTTGTTGCATCGATGACACTGTTTAACCAACTCATCCTTTGCCGTCCCCGTCTTCTTTGACCTTCAATCTTTCCCAGCATCAGGGTCTTCTCCAGTACTTTATACATCGAGTGATTAAAATGTGGAATTTGCTGCCGGAAGATGTAGTAATGGCCACAGGAATACACAGCTTTAAAGGGGGATGAGATAGATTCATGGAGGAAAAGTCTGTCAGTGGCTACTAGCCATGGAGGCTGAGGAGAACCTCCACAGTCAGATGCACTAAGCCTCTGAATCCCAGAGCCAGGAGGCAGCATCAGGGAAGGCCTCAACCTCTGTGCCCTGTTGTTGGCCCTCCAGAGGAGCTGGTTGGCCACTGTGAGAGAGAGAATCCTGGACTAGATGGCCTATTGGTCTGATCCAAAAGGGCTCTTCTTATGTTATTTAGAGAAAAGCAGGGTATAAAAACCAGCTGTTCTTCTTTAATCATGTCTCTGTCTTCCACACGGCTTCTCCTTTGTCCCGTAGTCCTCATACCCTGTCTCTTCCTCGACTGCTACCATTCTTCTTCCTTTTCACAGTACGCACACCTTATTCCCAATGCTCTCTCTAAGCTGTGAAGTCCTGTGAGCAAAAATTCTACTTTGTGAGCCACTGGCATTAAAGTTGTGAGGGAGCGATTTGGCTGCTGCCTAAATGAGTTTGCTCTGGAGCCCTCCTTCCTGAGCTGAGGCAAAAATGTGTGAGCCAGAGGCTAAGAAACTGTGAGCTAGCTCACACTAACTCCGCTTTAGAGGGAACACTGCTTATTACTGCTTCTTCTCTGTCTGCTCAGGATCCATCCCAACCCCGCCAGCCACTTCATAATAAGAACAGCTCTCCTGTATTATATCAGCTGTTCCGACATCCTGTTTCATGCTGTGTCCAATCAGATGCTCCTAGAAAGCCTACATGCAGGGTACAAGGGCCAAAGCCTCCCACATCGCCCCACAACATCTGCTATTCTGCCTCTGGACATGGAGGTTCCATTTCGCTGTCACAGCCAATAACCAGCAAAGGGGCCCTTTCTCTTGTCTAATCTTCTCCCAATGTGCACCCTAGGTCCTGACAGAGAGGCAGCATTGAGTAGTGGTCAGCGTCAGACTAGAATCTGGGAGGCCTGGGTTTGAATCTCCACTCTGCCATGGAAACTCGCTGGGTGACCTTGGGCCAGTCACACACTCTCAGCCTGGTCTACCTCACAGGGTTGTTGTGAGGATAAAAAGGAGATGAGGAGAAAGGGGTAAGCAGCTTTGGAGAGAAGACAGGGTATAAATATATATAAATAAATGCAGATGTTTCCATGGTCATGTGGCCGGCATGACTAAACACCAAGGCGCACGGAACGCTATTACCTTCCCACCGAAGTGGTACCTATTTATCTACTTGCAATTTCTTGCTTTCGAACTGCTAGGTTGGCAGGAGCTGGAACTAGAGACGGGAGCTCACTCCGTCATGCGGCACACTCGGGTCTCAAACAGCTGAACTACTGACCTTCCACAGCCTGCAGTTCAGCGTCTTAACCACTTGAGCCACCGCAGCTCAACAGAGGTTTAATGCATGGAAGAGGGA